AGCTGCAGGAGCGGTGCACAGAGACCTCCTGCCCCACCCCCTGCTCAGGAGTCGCTGCCAGAGGGGTGTGCTGGTCGCTTTGGGAGCTGCGTTGCCCAAGGTAAGTACCGCACCCCTGATACCTCCCGCATCCCAACCCCCTGCCCCAGCCCAGAACCCGCACCCAGCACCCCCTCCCAAACCCTAACCTCCTGCCCCAGCCCAGAGCCCGCACCCAGCACCCAAACTCCCTCCCAGAGCCCGACCCCCGCATCCCCTCCTGCACCCCAACCCCCTGCCCCAATCAAGGTACCTCACTTTATTTTCATTTACTTCGTATTACTTATAATATAGGAGGAGGATGAAGAAAAAAAAGAATGAAAAACAGAAGCGAGATAAGAGAGAATGTTCTTTTTCTTGGCTGGGTCCTGGGGGGCGGGGGGGCAAAAATGGCGCACAGGGCCCCACTAACTCTAAATCTGTCACTGCTTGGAGCGCATGCGGGAGTCTTAGGGTCAGTGTCCTGTCCTGCCACAGACTTCCTGTGTGACCTTGAGCAAGTCCCTTAGCCTCCACGTAAAACAGGGAGAACAGCACTTTTCTGTGTCGGTGGTGTCAGGACTGTGAGGTGCTCAGACCCGATGGGCGTGGGGGCCATGTAAGGACTTACAGACTTGTCTACATGGGAAAATAGTGTAATTATACTGCTATAATTACAGCAGGATAACACCCCATGTGGGCCCTCAGGGTGTGTCTACACATACACAGGAATCAGGAGGCGTGATGGGGGATGGCAGCATGTGTAGACATGCCTGAGCTAGCAGGCACTGAGGCCACCCGAGTTCGGTCCTGTGCAGTACGTACTTAGAAAACTAGATGGGCCTGGGGGGGCTACACTGTTCTTTTTAGTGACTCGGGGTAACGCCGACCGACCCCGGCGGCCAGGATCAAACCGGGGACCTCTGGAGACACGTGTTTCTTAGCCAAGGCCATAGCCGGCTCAGCAGTCTCTAGCTCAGTTGTCCCCAAACTGTGGGGCATGTCCCCCCAGGGCGGAGCATCTGGAGGGGGTGCGGGGCGGGACACCCAACTCCGCTTTGTTCCCAGCTCCGCTCCGGCCTGGCCCAGGCCCCAGCCCCCAACCCCAGCCCCTTTATAATCTCCCCTCAATGAGCCGAGAGAATTTGAAATAGATGGGAAGAGAGCAAGTCTCCCTCCGTCTCTTCGCAAAATCCTTATAGTCCCAGACTGGGCTTCCACCCCCACATTGCTCCCTTATTCCTTTCTCTAGAAGGCTGGGGGATGGTGCGTGCATTTGTATCAGGGCAGAAGGTTGTCAAGGACCAGTCCTCAATCCCTCTCAGCCTGGGGGCTGGAGAGAAGGGTGGAGGGACACCGCTGCCCGAAAGAGGCACCTAGCGTCAATTTCCCACTTCCTTGAGACTGGGGATAGGTAAAATGGCCATCGCTATTGCTGGTGCAGTCCACTAGGACACTGGTCCCCAAACTGTGAGGTGCAACCCCGAGGGGAGGAACATTTGGGGAGGCACTGAGGGGGGCGCAGGGAGGTAGCACCACTCAGCCCTGCTCCGCCACCAACGCTGCTCCGGCTCCACCGCCAGCCATGGCCTTGGCTCCCGGCCCCATGCCCAGCTCCACTCCCAGCCTTGGCCCCCAGCCGGGGCTCCATTCCCAGTCTGGCCCCAGACCCGCCCCAGCTGCATCCCCAGCCTCAGCCCCCTTACCACGGCTCTGCTCTGGCCTAGGGTTGCCAACTTTCTACTCACACAAAACCGAACACCCTTGCCCCGCCCCTCCTCTGAGGCCACGCCAAGGCCACGCCCCTTCTCCAAGGCCACGCCCCCACCCCCATCTTCCCGCCCTCACCCACTCACTCATTTTCACCGGGCTGGCTCATGGGCTGGGATGCAAGAGGGGGTAAGGGCTCCAGCTGGAGGTGCAGGCTCCAGGATGGGGCCAGGAATGAGGAGTTCAGAGTGTGGGAGGGGGCTCCAGGCTGAGGCAGGTGTTGGGGTGCAGGGGGGGGTGAGGGCTCCAGCTGGGGTGTGGCTCTGATGTGGGGCCAGGGATGAGGGATTAGGGGTGCAGGAGGTGGCTCCGGGCTGGGGATGAGGGGTTCAGAGTGCAGGAGGTGAGCTCTGGGCTGGGGTAGGGGGATGGGGATGGGGGTGTGTGAGGGCTGTGGCTGGAGGTACGGCTCTGGGGTGGGGCTTAGGATGAGGGGCTTGGGGTGTAGGAGGTTGCTCCGGGCTGGGATCGAGGGGTTCAGAGGGCGGGAGGGGGATCAGGGCTGGGGCAGGGGGTTGGGGCCCAGCCCCGGGGGAGGCTCAGGGGTGCAGGCTCCAGGCAGCACTTACCTCAAGCAGCTCCCGGAAGCAGCGGCCTGTCCCCCCTCCAGCTCCTATGCTGAGACATGGCCAGGTGGCTCTGTGTGCTGCTCCCTCTGCAGGCACCGCCCCCTCAGCTCCCATTGGCTGTGGTTCCCAGCCAATGGGAGCTGTAGGGGCGGCGCTTGGGGCTGGGACAGTGTGAAGAGCCCCCTGGCTGCCCCTACGCATAGGAACCAGAGTGGGGACATGCCGGCTGCCAGCCCCGCTGCAGTCAACGCACAGTCAATGGCCTAGTCAGGCCCAGTCAACGAAGCCGCCAGGATCCCTTTTCAACCGGGTGTTCCGGTCGGAAACCGGACACCTGGTCACCTTACTCTGGCCCCAGCTGCCCTGGGGGTGGGGTGCGAACAGGGGTAAGAGAGGATATGACCCCGAAAAGTTTGGGGACCACTGCACTAGGCCCTGCTCCCTAAACACCTTATATGCTGAGGAAGGAGAGTTTAACATCAGCTCAGGATTCCCTTATAAGGGCTGGTTTAAGGGTCCTTTGTGCCGCTGCAGTGATCCGGCCCCACTCATAGCGTCTGGAGCAGGTAACTTTCAAATGCCTGGCCTGGCTAATGCTTTTCTGTGGAAACTTTATTGTTGTTTGTTTTGATGAACAAACAAATGGGGGTAGGGATAGCTCAGTGGTTTGACACTGGCCTGCTAAACCCAGGGTTTGTGAGCTCAATCCTTGAGGGGGCCATTTAGGGATCTGGGGCAAAAATCTGTCTCACGATTGGTCCTGCTTTGAGCAGGGGGTTGGACTAGATGACCTCCTGAGGTCCCTTCTAACTCTGGTAGTCTATGAAAAATTGAGTTTTCAACTAAATTAAAGTGTTCATGGAAAGCAGCTGCTTTGAACAAGAATGTTGGGTTTTTTGCTCAGGGGGAAAAAGGGTTTTGTTCAAAACTATTTCACCTTAGCAAAATCTTTCGCCTGGGAGTTTGTTTACTTCACATCAGTGAAAGATAAGGCTGTGACCTGCTAAAGAAGAGCTAGGAAAAGAATCCTAAATGTGTGTATCGTTCTTAATGTTGCTAGTTCTGCCCAGACAAGAGACAACGGCTGATTTTACACCCTAAGACCTGATCTTGCAGGGATCCCTTGCTTAGCTCTGTATTCCCATCATAGTGCCACCCCTCCCTGGGACGTAAGTTCTGTGCTATATCGCTAAGAGATACTGCTCAGAATCTCACCCCTCATTTTAAATTTTGACAAATCTTTTTTGTTGCTGTTTTTATTATCTTAAGCTGGCCGGGAGGAGGAGGCGTTCTGACTGGGGATCATGTAGATGTTCGTGAAAATTCATTTTCAAATTCTTTTCTTGCGAAATGTCATTAAGTTTTGTGTACATACAGGATCAAGTGTGATATTTAGTTTTATTCTAAACTGGGGATTTTAATACCCCATCGTATATTTACAAGAATGTCTCTAGAGCCTAATATTCTGGTCTATTTAACTTAATCGAAGCATGCAGTTTGACTGAACTTTCTGTCTGTCTAATGCATGTATCTAATATTTGTTATTTTGCTATTGAGCGCATGGCTGAGAGATGTGATGTCTTCTTCTATCCCGGGTGACGTATGAACCTTGCTAGACAAAGCAGATTGTCTTTATTCATATATAATTTATGATGTGTATATACATTTTGAAGGACAGAGCTTGTGAGTGTTTTATAACCGAGTTAATAATTGTCAACCTATAAATAACTCAGGAAAATACCCTCAAGTGCAAGTAACTTTTCTTTTCTCTAGGGACAAATTAGGAGTCGTTTGGAGATGCTGAAGAAGGAGATGGAAGGCATTGCTGCACTGAAATTGAATGGGGAAATAACAAGCGAGGAGCTGCTGGTACTTACTCATTAGCAAATGAACCTATGTGATGACTCTGAATACCATTGGAGTCGTACAGAGTAATGTGTGATGCTCTATAATGGATAATCACTTATTTATGTGTAACCCTGTAACTCTTCTGCCAGTCAAAGGTGGTAGCAACAAGGGCCAGGTTCAGTATCTAGGGGTTCCTTTTTCCTTTTCAACAATACAACACAAAACTGGTTCGAGCCCCCACCCAGTGACCTGGGACAATTACACATCACCCTCTGGGCACCTCTAAGAGGCAATACTTCCCCTCTTGCAAGCACAGAGTCGGAGTGTAGCAAAACCTTTTAATAAAAGGAGGGAAATAATGCAGCATTAATTTTGGGAAACACCGCAAACAGGGTTTATAAACCTAAACCATAAGCAAAAGACCCACCACCAAGTAAGTTGGGCAGGTTCCCCTCAGGTTCTTAAGTCTAGTAACTCAAAAATCCCTTTATCTATCCCTTCTCTGCACCCCACTCACAGTTGCTGTCCTTGGACAGTACAGACCCAGAGTTCAGAGGTGCATCTTCAGAGTTCATCTCCCACCCTGGGGGGGAGGGAGAGAAGGAGAGGCACCTTACTCAGGTAATAGCTGTTAGTGATTTCAGGTGTTAGTGGTAGAGCTTCACTGCTGGTGCACACTGGGCAGACTCTTGCATCAGAGACATTGTACCAAAGCAGGGCTAATACTTAGACCTAGGTAACAGTGATTTCAGCTCTGCAGTGTGTAACAAGACTCTCAAGTGAGTCTGAATTACCTCTGTTATTACACACTGGAGAGAGGCAGGGCTAAATAGTGTCTGGGGCCTTAAGCAAGACCCACACCACCACACATAAATTTTATTAGAGAATATTTTAAAAAATAAACGATACAGAAAGTTTGAAGTGTCAGTTATTGGTCATTGGGGGTAATATACAGAGTATAGGGGTATGTTGGTGTTTTGGGGCTGGGCAGCACACATAGTATATACCGACTGCAATGTCCCCAATGAGGGGTGGGTAACCGGTGGGCGGGATCAGGAAACAGTCAATAAACGGTGAGGGTCTAACACCCATACGGGAAGTAGAAACAGTCATGGGTATAAGTAAGCGGGCTGGGTAATGGGGATGGGGTGACCCCACTGGCCTTTGGGAGCCATGTCCCCTGCCTAGCGAGTGCTATTTAGTTGAGTGTGAGTCCCTCAGTCAGGAAATGCCAAGTACAGTTCTGCTGCCCTCAGTTCAGACAGTAAGGATAACAACCCTTTAATACTCCTGCCCCAATAACAAGGAGACTGTGGATCCCACACCAGCCAAACATGACCATTTGGGCAAGCAATCCCATCATGCTGAGCACCTAGACAGGGTGGATGCGCCCATGCAAATGAGATCAGCTCCTGAAGTCCTTTTCCATAGCTCACCACTAGATGTCAGGGGAGAGCTCATTCAGACTCTGTTTACATATGTCTATAAAGTAAAGTCCGTCATGGTTCTAAGGTGGGCAAAGTGGAGAATGCAGGAGAGTCTGGGTGAACCCCCAAAGTACCACAGACTCCTTTGGAAATGTTACTCTGGATGGGCCTTCACATGTTTCTCTCCACCCTTTCCCTGCTTGTGTCTGCTCATCGCAGCAACAGACGGAGAGCGAGAGGAAGAAGATTCTGTCGGAATTTGAGAAACTCCATCTGTTTCTAGAGGAGAAAGAATTGCTCCTATTGGCCCAGCTGGAAGTACTGGACAAGGAGATATTGAAGAGGCATGATGAATTCACCACCAGGCTCACCCAGGAGAGATCTCGTCTCGGGACCCTGATCAGTGAGATGGAAGGGAAGTGCAGGCAGCCAGCAAGTGAATTCCTGCAGGTGAGACTGTGTGAGAGGTACCCCAGAGCCCTTAGTAGACATGTCCCTGGCTCTTTGCTATTGAAGTCCCAGTTCACAATACACCGCATTGCAGAAACATACATTATTTTATTCATTGAGGTCCTGATAGTACAAGGTGCTCAGCACACTGGTTCTCTGATCTAACAAAGCACTTAAACACATGAGTTTTCCCATAAATTTTGTAGATTTTATGCCCAGGAGAGATCATTTGGATCAGCTTGTCTGATCTCCTTCATTACGGGCCAGAGAATTTCACCCAGAGATTCCTGTATGTAGCTCACCACTCTTGGTTGACTTAGAGTGTATTTTTTAAAAAGACGTCCAATCTTGATTTAAAGGTCGCCAGTAATGGACAATCTGAGACTCAGTGAAGTGGCCTTCAGTTTTGGACTGTTATAAAGAGGACTGCTATATCTGTGATTGTTCAGATTAACAGACTGCAGACAGGGCCAAGTCAATAGCTCAGGTCAGGCTTACCTGACCCATTGTGACATCAGAGGGAACTCAAACAATCATCTCCCGTCCTCTCCAGCTAATTTGCATGCTATACTTCTACTGGTTGGAATGAGTCCGTGTCATGAGGGACACATTTGTCAGGAGTTATCATTGGCAGATTAGCCCGCAACTGTATGTTAACCTGTTGTGATGCCGTATGTAACTCACACCAGCATGTGTTTTTCCCCTCTAGTAGCTGTACGGGTTTATACATATACAGATTTATGAGTCTTCCACTTTGTCCCAGCTAAGGGACCTGGGAGTAAAAATTTTAAAAGGGACCTAAGGGGTGGATCCTCAAAAGTATTTAGGCTTCTAAACTCCCCTTCATTTCAGTGGGAGTTAGGTGCCGAAAGTCCTTTGAGGATCTGGACCTAAATGACTTGGGAGCCTAAATCCCATTTTCAAAAGTCCCTCAGGCATTTTGGACCCTAAATCCCATAGGCTTTCAATGAGGCTCAGAATCCTATGTGCCCTGGGGCTAGATTTTCAAAGGTATTTAGGCACCCAAAGGGATTTTCAAATAAGCAAGTTAGATACCTCAGAGCAAGAGGGATCTCCAGTATATGTTGTGTGGGACTGAACTCCCCTTTTCTTTCTCTCTCCTCTCTAGGACATCAGAAGCACCTTGAGCAGGTACGTGGCTCCTTTTCACTCCACCTCATAGGCGCCAACTTTCCCCGACGCCGGTGGGTGCTCGTGCCCCCCCCGCCCTTGGACCC